ATGTGGAATATCGTTAGCAGCAAGCGTTTGCTAGCCAGGAGTTAACGCGACCCATTCACGCTAGCGGCGTCTTCATTACCGCTGGCTTTTAAGATGAGAATGCTTGAGGATAAGCGACCAAGCTAAGGGTTTCAGTAGTATTTCTTTAAACCCATCATACACACACACGCGTGTGTGCTGAGGCTGATGTTGCATTCTTGATGATCCTTCACCGCACTTGGCTGAGCCAACTTACATTTAAACTAGGTCTTTTTAAGTTGGATAAATTTCATTCCACTTTATTTGGTTTGTTCTGCCTATCTGAATAATCTATTAACTGGCCACGTTGCTTACGCCAACTGTGGTTATCTTCGTTAACTTTATCGCGTTTGTAGCATTTATCGAATAACTTGTGGACATTTTTCACTTTTCGCGGATTCATTGCTGCTCAAATAACTTCATATACTAATTTAGCGAAGAGTTATGTCACCGTGTCTGTATGCATTATTGGATTTATTTCATCTTGTCGTTTTAATTGATTGTCTGTTGCCTTATATCCCCGGTGTGGCTGCGCTTGTTGTGCAAGTGGATAAGGTATCTACCTGTCTATTACCCACTACCTCGTCTGTACTTGCTCCAGGAGACAGTTGGTCGTTGCTGGAGGGGACAGGGTGCATGGTTCTTGTGGTCGTGCGAGGCTGGAACAGTGGTTCCATGCACTCAGTGCGGAGCGGACTACGGTCCAGCCACCGCTTTGTGTACGCTTGATTTCCCAAATGCAGCGTGCTTGTGTTTGTCTGTGAAGGAGTGTGGGCCGGCTCCGTTGATGAAACGTAGCTCCAATCCACATGCCTCCCGGTCTTATTCTTTCGGGTTTACACTGGATATGGGGTGTATGGATGGAACTGTGTGGTGCAGCGCAAGCCACCCATGGTCCTTCTGTAGGTGCAGGCGTCCTGTGGCTGGCCACAGTGACAGGCAAATTCGAAACCGGATGCCGCCAACCATATAAATACTTTTGCAAAACCCTGACTTACCTGTTAGAACGGGTCTGGGAGGAAAAGACTATCCCAACAAACAAATGACTCGATTATGGTGTCAGTATACGAGAAGGGCAGTCGCATCGAATACACTGACCATAGGGGTATTAGTCTAACGCCGGTGGTGACAAAATTACTACCCCAACTCTTGTTCGTCGCCTCATTGCGTAACCGGAATCCTTGATTAGGGAAGAGCAGTCTGGTTTCCGCCCAGGTTGGGACGTATAAACATTGTATTTCTTCTGCAGTAGGTGTTAGAGCAGCATCACACATACCACCGGTAGCTGTGATCCTCAAGAGTGCGTTCGATTCATTTGGTCCATGCATTCTGTTTGTGATATCTGCGCGGAAAGATGTTCCAAATTATTATGTGAATATTCTACGTTTCTTGTACTCGAACACCACACGTCGCGTTAGGGTCCACGGTGACTTGTCGAATGTTTTCCCGACAACAAGTGACGTTCGCTGAGGTTGTTCAATTTCCTCATTTTTATTCAACTTCTTTGACTCCATCCCTTGCGGAATCTCACGATTTAGACCTTGAAGTGTTGTCTGGTGAAAAGCTAGTTGATTTTGACTATGTGAACGATATTGTCTATTGTTTAATGATGTTGAGGTAGTCTATTCAACTCTTATTTTAGCATAGTCCCATCTTTTGGAATAGTCTTCGCATATTCAAAGTGCAAGTGTTGTTGCAAGACCATCAGCCACTTGATGATCGTTGATAGCGAGGAACTCGAGGTAGTTGATAAATTCACCTGTCTTGGTAGCTGCATCAGTAGCGATAGGTGGATAACCACTTGGTATCTTCAGAGCTGTTGACGCCGTTGCTTACGATTCTTTACTTCGAGACTCTTCTTTGGCTATGTTCTTTCTCATTATGCCACTGCTATCACGATTTTTAAGCGAATAAGTATTTATATACGGAGGGGTGTCCGGCAAACGGACCAGCTTTCCCCATTGCTCTTCGTGTTAACTTTGGCCGAGACCCTTCATAAGCCTGCATCATTTCAATAGTCTTCACCCGCTGACCCTATAGACTACTTGCTTTATGCTGAGGATATGAGCATCTTTTCCTGTCTCCATACGTTTCATGAAACTTTCCTTTTAGAGGCTTATCAATTAACCAACTGAAGTTAACTGACTTCAGTATTCTCGTTAAAACGCTTGTCGCGATGCAGCGGTGTATCGAAGCTGACGTTCATCGATATACTTTTATCCACTCATGTGGGTTTTTGCCAGAGACTAGAATCAACAGTACTTGTCGATACAAGTCACTCCCTCTACTCTGTCTGGATATGTGTCAACGTCGTCAACCAGACAGAAGTACAAATCCAAATATGCCAGTACACGAGCGTACCGGTCGCCAATTATCCCCTACATAGCGCGATTTTTGCTAGACTAAAACAAAGTTGTCCAAGACTTAACAAACCAGTTTATGCCGTGATGATATTATTCTTTTTCAATTATTGACCAACATTTTTGAATTTTATGTTGTATCGCTGCAAGTATGTGTGTTACGGTTGAGTATTCACCCGTTCTGGATGCATAAAGCACTTTCTTTACTTGATCGTACAAGAAAGATTACTTTGTTGTGCGCATCTCTACTCTCGGGTTCCTCGATCACCATATCATCGCTTCAATCGGACAAATCGTTCCGATATCTCAACCTTCCGTTCCACTGGAAAGGTAACTATCAGACTGCATCCCTCCCCCTCCAACCACGATCTCATTTTGGACATATAATATGGCTTCTTTTACTGCAAATAGCCTGGCTGTTAGCTCACCGGAAAGATGTCCGCCCGTTACTGGCGGTTCAGTTGCTTGCCTCAGCCGTGTCTTTTTCCTTCTCCATGTATTGCGGCACAAAAGCTGGGGTGTTTCCACTTCTACCTAACGTGTAGAATGATAATGATGCATCCCTATAACAAATACGTTCTCAGAGTTAAGCGGTCAACCGAGTTTTCCTGAAGCCTTATCAGCAAGCAGAAATACTTCGCAACTTCTTATTGCCTCGTCGCATTTACAGCCTCTCTCTAGCAGCAGTACACCGCCATACCGTATACGCAAATGGCTACGGCTACCCGAGGATACACTAGTTGCCTACTTTTACTCTATTATCAAAGATTTTGGCCTTGGGATACCAACTCCGTCAACAATGATTCCCTTTCTTCGGAAATCTCGCCTTCATCGTCATCTGTGGAACTCCCATCCTGTAAACGTCTAGTCGATACGCGATTCCTCCTCGGCTTCTATCTATCGCATTGCCATATCTCCCGTCTTTTTTTGGACAGCCTGTTCTCTACAAGATTGTTGCACAAGAGTCTTGAAGAACGGTATTGTTATCTTCTCTCGGTGGTTCCCTGTCCCGGGACGTTACAACTTCCCCATCAGCCCACCAATGGCTCAGACGACCGGCCACAATCTTTCTTCGGCTATTTACTCGAGGGATTCAACTGTGGACGATAGTCCTCTAAACGAAGACACGCTGAGCTTGGTGCAGACCACATCCCTCAACACCCCCTCTTTATTGCCGCAGAGGTTGTGGCTAGAGGAACACTCTCACACATCTTCCAGTCATGTGCATTCACACAAGATAATCGCTGTAAATGGCCTAACGACATCACAAAACTGATTGTGGTTGCAATCCGCCATCGGGGTGTTCAGATTACATCAGAACCCAGAATATTCACCTTGGGTTCCTTTCTCAAAATCACTCGCTCGCTGTCATGAGACTACCGTATATGTTGTGCATGCTGCTACCTGTGGAGTCAGCCTAAAAGCTGAAATTGGACAAATGTAGTGTTCGTAAGTGTGATCAGATCGGCAGCACATTGTTTCCACTTCTATATAGCTACTTCTCACCGGTGCGTATGAGCGGTTGCTCTGTAAGTCTGTCTTTCGGCCTTGAGCTGCTCTACTTTCTGATTACTTTCCACGGCTTGTGCGCTCACTAATGTTTGTTTCACGCGCCTTAGATTAGAGAAAGAGCCCGTCGTTGATTTCATTGTAAACCGACACTTCGACTTATGTATCGACTCTGCATACTATACTGATCCCACTCACCCACTACCCAGTGAGCTCACTCGTGCGGTATCAAATTCATCTAAACGGCCGAAGTTCAACGTATTACTCTGTCGCACCTTGTCTTGTCGTAATCCCGCTTAGCCGTATCTGCCAGCTTTGTTAATCCAGAAAACGTGATGTATACATTGCGCAGCGGTATGCTAGAATGAAAACGCACTCTTCTCGTTTTCCCTGACAAATCATATTTTCTCCGCAAGGATAGTGCGAAGTGCCGAATATGCACCCCTATGGGTGTGTAAAGCTTATCCTGACTTGACTTCCAAAGTAAGGGATGCTGAAATTTAGTTTATGTGATGCCTAACAATTTGCCGATCTGACTCAACTCGATAAATCACAAAGGTACACAAGCTATCGCACCGCTTTATGGTCTAGTCTGTCTACGGTACATCGTCAAAGTTCATTGTCCATGACACTATCTCTGTACTATAGACAAGTGTGTAATGGCTTCTCAATATACCCCATTCTTTACCCATCACTAGCGGTTAACTTAATCAGAATCCTTTCCGTATCCTTTTTACCTCCGGTGGTAGCGAATGATCTTCCAGTGATTGCCATAACATTTGTTTATTTTCCTTGTTCTCCGAAGGCCACCGTTCCTACGCTGACACGACAAATCGCCTCATCGCTAGGAATAGCTTTTCTTCTAATGAGTACGCATCGCATTGTTGTAATACATCGAAAAGAAATTTTTTGCATTTTCCCCTTTGACATCGCTTTTTTTGTCTTTATTTCGCCACCATACTTGCATTTGATTTAGATTTGTTTTTCACTTGTGATGGGTATTAACATCAGCGTTTTAACCATTTCTCTACATTCTTATTCTTTTATATCAAGAGCGCCGCTATGTCTGCCCCTCAGATTGATGAGGCGTCCGTATACGCTTGCGTAGGCTATCCAACTGTTGGAGAAATTCAATCCTTGACCGACTGGATGCTAAACGAACCCATCGAATCGGCGTATACCAGTAAGACTGCATTGCTCAATGTCCGAAAGTTGTTCAGTTTTTGCGTCAGTCTTGTAGCGCGGTTTCGTTTCACATTTGACAACATACCGTAGCTACAGGCTTCTTGCCGTCTCACATCACCACCGTATTGTTACGTACATTCAAGTGCACAAAGCCTGGGTGCTTTTACCTAACGTGCGCCTAGTGACGTACTACAACCAAACCTGCTAGCACAGATCGCGCTGGCCGGAGCAGACAACTGAGGCGACCCAACCGGCATGACCAGCGCAACCTGAAACTGCCTACGAACCATTGAGCCATGGACCGGAGACGTTTGTCGACCGGGAATCCAGTGAGCACCAAACTCAAAGTCAATCGTAGCTCAAAAAAGCGGGGAACAGAGGTCATATCGAAAATCACGTGTTCGTTCTGTGCTAATTCATATGACGCAACAAACGTGAACTTGAAACGTAACGGGGGTAACAGTGTATCGACAGATAAGCTGTGGTTCTGTGATATGTTCAGAAAGTCCCATAATTAGGATTGTTCAATCGCTACGATAAGGTGTAAAGTGTTGGCTGTTACGCCGGCAGAGCAAAAGGAACTGATCGCGGTATTGGGAGGGGAAATCTCCGAACTCGAGTTGCGAATTGATGCATTACGTATCTCAAATCGCAGACTTGTTTTAAGGCAAAAGCTCTCAAGCAGAAATGCTACAAAGTCCTGTGAAAGGCGAACACCGTCAGTGACAAACAGCAGTGAAGATAGGCCGGTTGAAAGGTATCCCAAATCTCACTAAATGCTGCAAAGCATGCCGAGTTACGCACAAATTGCACGATCACCTCCGTCAGTAGCTGAGCAACAACACTTGACTCCTACAGATATTTCAACTAACGGCGTTGCACGTTAACAGTCTTGCTGTAGCTTTGGTCTATCTTCCACTGACTTGTCTTCACAAATCAGATACTCCCACACGACAAATCTCCGCTCACAAGAAACTGCAAAATTATACACTACTACGCAACCAAAACGCATTGACAGTGATATGTTCAAACGTCCCAGAACGCTCCAGTGAATCGTTAAAAGGCAAAAAAACCGAGGAACAACGCTGGGCTGAGATAACCTGTGCACTCGGACTGAAAGTTCTCTCAACTAGTCTTACTCGCCTTCCATAAAATCCATCATCTCCGCATGTAGGAGAACCTCGATTACTGCAACATTTGGCAACACACAGGAGCTGGAAGATGTACTCTTAGCCAGCCACATTCTAGTGAACTCTTCTGTAAGTGCCCGCATTTTTTCGGACAAGCCATGCTCAGAAAGGCAGGAGCGGAAATTTAACCCGAATGTGTCACGACAAAATGAGACGAAGAAGGTGGTACTGGTTCATGGTGTACTAGTATTAAAGCGTGACATCGAAGAGTGGAGGTACATCAAAGAACTGTGACATGCAAACTGTCGCCGCTTTTGACGTCACCTGTCTAGTTGCCTCCCAAACTACCACGGCAGCGGGCCAAGATTTTTGTAAGTTAGTTTGGCTACGCCCGAGATGGTAACCATGGCAATCCAATCGTGGCATGGCAACAGAAAATTTGGGTCTCCAGAGGTACGCTTATGACCATTTCTTCAAGCAGTACAAACCCCACTTACATATGAGGCAATCTCGGGCCAGTCAACCGTAAAAGCACACGTTTCAACAAACGCCAGCAGACAGGCACTATTTGTTCCGGTCACTCAGCGAACCGAGCTCCTAATTTGTCAACAAATACAATGCTGCTACACCGACACTTAGGACCTCTACTCTAAGCTGCCAGAAGTGTGTCATCGACATGAAACATCAAATTGGGACATCGTAGTGGTGACTGAAACTTGATTCTCGAACGACATACTAGATCCAGAGATTGAACTCGGTGGGATGTCAGTCATTCAATTTGATCGCCCATCTCGCGGTGGCAGTGTTGCCATTTACTGTCCAGATTACCTTAAATGTGAGACCATTACCTAACATTCCCTTGTTATTTCTGACGCATTATTTTCCGACTGCAGTTAGCAGGTCGAGATGATGGATCGCAGAAAACGAGAGATTCTTACCTATTGGCAGTTGTCTACAGGCCACCGAACTCCTCCGCAGACAGTGATAACATTCTGTTAACTGCACTCCACTATGCAGTTTCAACGTACCTTCAATTGTCTCAATGTCCCCTAATGGGTCATCATGTAAATCAAAACTCCTTGAATTCGTGGACATCGCAGTTTTGTATAACCATGTGCATCGACCAACCAGATACCGCAGTTCAAACAAACTATTATTACTGTACCTAATCCTGACGAATGAAGAGTTGATGGTTGAGTCAGTCGCACAAGACCCTCTACTAGGCAGTAGCAACCATCCAGTCCTAACATTTGGTTATGTGTGTTATGCCAGTATGGTTGAGAACGAACTCGAAACTCAACGAACTATTACTGACTATTCCAAGCTTCACCACCTAGCGACAAACGTTGACTGGGGCCTACAGACTCACAGTTCGGCGGATGACGCATGGAATGAATTGAAAAATTAAATTGAAATTAACTGGGTCATACGAGCAGCCTCAAAAGTGTACTATTACAAGTGTCACGCCAGACTAACAGTTGGATCCGAAGCAGAACATCTTAATCGATCAGCATAAGAGATAAGATTTGGAAGCAACATACGCTAAGTCCATGTGATGCCTATGGCAGAACTACAACACAATCAGAAACTACTGCACGTCACTTATTAGGGCAGACAAGTGTGAATGACAGGAGAACATGGTACTCAAGTTTCCGACTAACAACAAACTGCTTTACAGGTATGTGAACGATAAATGAAAGATTAAAGATGGAATACCACCAGTTAAGACGGCCAGTGGCTTAACGGTTACTGCTGTGGGCATCGCGAGCGCTCTACTTCTACAGTTCGGCTCGATGGCTACAAATACCATGGAAACTATGTTCTATCAACTCCCAACAAATGCTGTTGACTTAGCCAGTATCACTTTTACTCCAGAGGCTGTCGTGAACAAATTACATTCTCTCCGGGAAAACAGTGCCTCCGGAATCGACAAGATCTAGCCAAAGGTTCTTAAAACTTACTCCCACCATAGCAGTACAGCTTGCAGCGTTTTTCGAGGGTCTGTTTGACTCTGAGTGAAAACGTGGAATCACCAATCCGATATACAAAGAAGGTAAGAGATGGGATCCTGCCAAATACCGACCTATTAATCTCCTACCAGTTTTATCAAAAGTGATGGAATCGGTAATCGCAGATGAACTGACGCGATATTTTTAAAGTCTGCAAATAATTTCCAATGTCCAACACGGTTTCAGACGCAGACGATCTTGCCTCACCAACCTTCTGCTTTCCCTGGATTCATAGACCAGAGCAGCTGATGAAGGAGTCCCCATAGATGTGGTTTACTTAGATTTTTCTAAGGCATTCGACAGGATCATTCATTTCTTTCTCCAAAAGGTTGCTGCCTACGGTATCAATGGTTCTCTGCTCACCTGGTTGGAAGGTTACCTACAAGACACAGCCATCAAGGTAAGAATAGCCAACACTCACTCCAAAAGCCTGTGTGTATCCAGCGGCGTACCGCAAGGATCCGTCCTCGGCACGCTACTGTTTTTAGTTTACATGAATGACCTCCCAGAAAACATTTTATCCCCGATGCAGATATTTGCAGATGACGCTAAAATATGGATAGCCTCCGACCGTACCTATCGGAACGATCTGGACCGGATTGACGAATGGGCAGAAAGGAACCAGCTCCCACTGAACCCTGCAAAATGCCATCTGCTGACGGTGCGTAGCAACTTCATCAACACATCATCTGGGACAACACCTTTTGCAACAGGTGACTAGTGAGCGAGACTTAGGTATCATCGTATAAGAAAGTCTTAGGAATTCGCCCCAATGCTCGAAATCAGCGAATGTGGCGAACTTGAACTTGGGGCTTTTGATACGAGCTCTCAACACTTTTGAGCGACGGCTAGTACCGCTGTTGATGAACACAAATCTTCGTCCCCATGTTGAATATGCTGTTCAAGCCTGGCGCCCATGTTTAAACCGAGATATCTGTCTCCTGCAGCAACCCCAAAGAAGAGCTACCAAGGCAACGCGTGGACTATCCGGTCACAGTTGCGAACTGCACCTCCGTTTGCATGGTGTCTTATCCTCAGAATACCGACGGCTTCACGGGGATCTCGTCCTCACATACCGGATACTAACTGAAAGCGAGCACCCATGTGCATCACTGCTGACCCTAGCCTCTTACAAACAATGTCGAGGCCATCACCTGAAACTAGTGACGCAACACTCCCGTTTGGATTGTAGAAAGTATTTTTACTGTCTTAGAATCTGTTCCCACTGGAATGCACTACCAACACATGTGGTGAACACACCAGACATCGCGACATTCAAGATACTTCTAGATTCATCTTATTGCTAAACGCTACCCAACAATGTGATAAAATGCGATGTCTTTACTACTGAGGATTCACGTTCCACAATGGCACATTCTTGTGCATTTTTCATCCTGTGGGTCTTGTGAAGTTATGCTTTTTACCCCATCATACAATATTGAAGTAGAGTCGGCCAGAATAGACGATCTTATTCGGTCTCATTAACGAAATCCGTCACTGAGATCAAGCACCTGCAGTTGCCACAAACTGACTGATCAAGATGTGCAATTCTTTAGGGACAGTTTGTTAACATGCTAACGTTTTATCACCTGGTAATAAAACGCGAAGCACATAGTCTCATGACCAGATTCGAACACACTGGATGTTCACGCTTAGAAAAAGCAACAAAACACATCTAATGATTTGTGTCGCCTTGTCTAGTGTCACTACGACCTCGGTAGCGATGACACCTGTGGTAGATCATAGCTATTTGTGTGTATCTGAACATTAGCTCATTTCTCACTGTCTTTCAACGTCAATACTATGGCTCAGAGCGGTCAACACGTGGCTTCTATCACTGTGTGTTCTCTATGAGTTGATGTGTACTTTGCCTCCGAGATCATCATACATCATCATTATACACGTTAGCTGCAGGTGGAAAACACCTCAGCTATTGTGCCGCAATACAAAAGACAAGAAAAGGAAAACAAACAGTGGTACGCCCGCTGAGTCCCCAGTAACGGATGGACATCGTTCCGGAGAGTTAACAGCTGGCTATCGTGCCGTAAAAAGAGTTAGATTATGCCTAACTAGTGAGATCGTGTTTGCAGTGGGATGCTAAGCAGGAGTGGGATGGACAAAGGAACTCACAACACAAGCGCCATTGGGGTCGGCTCCAAGCCATATCAGCAAGTGTGTCCAACCAAACGTGTTCACCGTCTTTATGACCCCAGCCAGGCAGTCGGGATGCACCAACCGACGCCAACTTCGAAGTGAGGGTTTTCATCTCTCTCGACCAAGTCATCGCTTGGCCTCCCCTCCTCTTCCAACCGTACCCACAATGCACGTTGCGGAAATCGGTGTGGTGGCATGCGCAACACGTGGCCCAACCTTCGGAGCCTGGTGCGTGATATAATGGTGCTGAGCGGTTCACTCGCTCTTCCTGCACCAAATACGCGACGTCGAACACGCTCATTGCTCACGCGGTGCTCCCACCAGACATGAGCTAAGCTGCGAAGGCAACAATGATCGAATATGACGAGCATCTTTATGTCTGTCGACCTGATGGGCCAGGTTTCACAGCCATATAGGAGAGATGAACGGACGGCTGCGTTATAAACTCTGCCCTTGAGGGCAAGAGTAATGTCGCGTCTACGCCACAGGTAGCGAAGATTGGCAAAACCACCTCGAGCTTTTGCTATACGGTTCGTAACCTCATCTTCAATCCCACGGGTGCTAATAATCTGTCCAGGTACGTGAATTCCTGAACGACTTCTAGCAGATCACCACCAAGCGTTAGCGTAGGGTTGGATCCCTGCCAATCTTGGAGAAGTACTTTGCATTTCGATGGAGCAAAGCATAGCCCAAAACGATTGACAGCCAGTGCTAATCGGTCCATTGCTGCTTGGCATGTTTGGGAGCTGTCACAGATTAGGGCAATATCGTCTGCATACTCCAAGTCAAGAAGTCGCTCACCAGGAAGTAGCTCCACACCTTCTAGGTGGTGTCGAGCGAACGCTGTTTCCATGACTTCATCAATAGCGAAGTTGAAGAGGAAAGGTGACAGCGGGCATCCTTGTCTCACACCGCTGGTGATACTGAAGGGTGGTGACAGTTTGCCATAAACCTTCACGCTGCCCGAACTATACGCGTACAGCGCTTTGTTAGTGTTTACATATTTATCAGGCACACCTTTCCCCAGCAGACAGTCCCAAAGATCACGTCGATCGACTGAGTCGAATGTATCTTTTATGTCAAGAAACATGACAACGGTGGTTCGCCAATGTACATCGCGGTGCTCCAACAATTGACGCAAGGTGAAGATGTGGTCGATGCAGCCCTGACCTCGACGAATTCCGGCTTGCTCTTCACGAATCTGACTTTCACACTGCTAGTCAGTCTTTGGAGAATGACAGAGGCAAGCCATTTAGAGGCAATGGAGATCAGACTGATTCCTCTATGATTGCCGCATTCCGATCGGGAGTTTCCCTTAAAAATTGGGACAATGACGGAGGAGGTCCAGTCTGTCGGGACAGTGTCCTGCTCCCAAACTTTCACTAGCAACTCGTGTAACTCATCTACAAGAGCAGGTCCCCCGAATTTGAAGAGAGCTGGGATAGTTCTATATGTCCCTGCGGCCTTATGCAATTTCAGCAGCCTGATCTCACGTTCGACTTCTGCGCATGAGGGAGGACCCAAAGTGACGGCCCAGGGAGAAGAGCGCTCAATGCTCCAAAAAGGAAGCCATAACTCAAGTTGGTTAAATTGCCTTGCAAAGTGTTCAGCCCAACGCTCCAAGCGTTTTGACAGGCTGTGGATCGGCTGCCCACTCTCTTCGCGTATGGTCTCGTTAACACCAGGTCTCGTGCTGCCTGTTTCCCGTATCAGACGGAATAACTTACGATGATTGCCAACGGTAGCGGCTGTTTCCATCTCAGAGACACGATAAGACCACCAGGTTTCGCGGTCTTTCTTCGGGCCTTCGAGATTGGAATCCATAGATCCAACGTTGTGACAAATCCTGAACCTCAGGGCTAGGATTGCACTGCGGGTGTTTGGGTTTTCACGACTCTTCCAATGGCGTATCCATACGTAAGAACGTTTGCACTGTAGGTTTGGCCTCCATTGTCGATGGGCGCCGTTTGAATTGAAGTTCTTTTTGCTTCTGTGCATGTTCCTATAGAGTCTCTTTTCGAAACGCCTGCCGTAATCCGCACCAGCGCTATCTCATCCTCTATACTTGTATTTTTCTTGTAGAAATCCTGCGAACCAAGAGCTCCAAAGGCATAGCCCTGCAGGACATTGTGACGGAGTTACATCCTTTGATTATGAAAAGTCAGTTTTATGTGCTAATGCCATCGAACATTGTCCTGGTTTCGTTTCGATCATTCATTCTATCCGACACGTGACCATCCTTACTATGCCGAGGCTTAATTTCGCAATGGAAGCTTTCTTCGCACATTATGCGAACAACCTTCTGCACTTTGGACCAACATGAAAAAATAACAAAACTTATAGTTATTATTTTTTGTGATAAAATTGGTTTTGTGTTAAAAATTCACTTTTCATCAAATTCAAATCACTTTATGTTGCACTGGAATATTCGGTCCAGAGTATACCTCTTGTCAAAGATGTCCGGTGTCGTGACATGGGTTTACCACACGGTATACTTTCAACTGGAGGACAGCGGCATAATAACCACCAGTCTTGTCGCTTTGTGAATAAGTAATAGTAAGCAAATGTTATCCAAACACACTTACCATGTTACTGTCTTTATGACCAATGTTACCCTAATAAGCTTTGTTATTTAGGGGTAACTTTGGCCAGTTGGCCTAACTCATCCAACTTTCGCCAGCCCCTAGAGGTATATATATATATATATATATATATATATAAAATCTAATTTGCACACGCCGCTCATGCTAAATGTGGTAACCTTGCGTAACTTTATCACGTGGTAATCTTTAAATAACTTTCGAACAGTTTGTACTTATCGCGGATTCGCTTATACCCAATTTACTCCATATGCTAATTTAGCGATTATTAATGTCGTCATATAGGTTTTCGTTATTCCTTATCTTTTCTATGATATCGGCAATTCGAATGATTGGCTGTTGTTTGACATCCCAGGTGTGGCTGCGCTTGTTGTGCATGTTGACAAGGTGGCTATCTATCTATAACCCACTACCTCGTGGCATTTACAGGGCACGACTTATAAGGTTTGGAGCTAATCCCAGGAGAACGACTTCTTGGAGTATGCAGACGACATTGCCTTCATCTGTGACAGCTTCCAGACGTGCCAAGCTGCACTGGACAGATTAACACTGGCTGTCAGCCGCTTCTGGCTTTGCTTTGCACCATCGAAGTGCAAAGCTTTCCTCCAAGATTGTGCGCTAACATTTGGTGTGGATCTGCTACAAGTCATTCAGAAATTCAGCTACCTGGAAATTTGTATCAGTGTCTGTGGGATTAAAACTGAGATCACGAACCGAATATCAAAAGCTCGAAGTACGTTTTCTAGTCTTCACCACCTATGCCGGCGGCGCGACATCACTCTTGCCCTGAAGGGTAGAGTGTACAATGCAGCGGTACGTTCGACCTTACTGTACGGTTGCGAAACCTGGCCCCTTAGATCAGCAGATCTAAAGAGGCTAGTTACGTTCGACCATTGGTGCGTTCGTAGTTTGGCTCACATCTGGTGGGAACACCGCGTGAGCAACGAGCGTGTTCGACGCCTTGTTTACGGCGTAGGAAAAGCAACTGAACCGCTCAGCACCGTCATTTCACGCACCAAGCTTCGATGGCTCGGCCACGTATTACGCATGCCAGCCCACCGACTCCCTCGACGTGCGTTGTTTGCTCATCGGGGATGTGGGTGGAAGAAGAGGAGAGGTGGCCAAGCGATGACTTAGTCGAGAGGAATGAAGTCCCTCACTTCGGAGCTAGCCTCGGTTGGAGCGTCACGGCTCCCTGGTTGCTGCCCAAAAGACGGTGAACACGTTTGGCTGGATACACTTGCTGACATGGCAATGAGCCGACCTCATTGACGTTTGTGCTGTGAGTTTCTTTGTCCCTCCCCATCCCTTTTAGCCTCCCCCTCCAACCACGATCTCATTTCGTAGCTTAACCTAATTTTACGTAATAATTTTTCATGTTGCCTAGTAGTCGGCTGGTAGCTTTCCGGAATCATGCCCATCCGTTGCTGGTAGCTTAGCTGGCATGCAACTGCTGTATTTCTTTTCTTTTTCTTTTGTGTTGCGGAACAATAGCTGAGGTGTTTTAAACCTCCAGCTGACGTGTATAATGATGATGATCTCGTCTGTACTGGCTCCAGGAGATAGTTGTCGTTGCTGGAGGGGACGGGGTACACGGTGCTTGTGGCCTTGCTAAGCTTGAAGAGTGGTTCCATGCACCCATTGTGGAGCGGACTATGGTCCAGCCATCGCCTTGTGTACGCTTGATTCCCCAAATGCAGCGTGCTTGTGTTTGCCTGTGAAGGAATGTGGGCCGGTTCCGCTGATGAAACGTGGCTCCCATCCACATGCCTCCAGGTCTTATTCCTTCGGGTTTACACTGGATATGGGATGTGTGGATAGAAGTGTGTGGTGCAGCGCAAGCCACCCATGGTCCTTCAGTAGGCGCAGACGTTCTGCGGCTGGCCACAGTGACAAGGAAATCCGAAACCGGATGCCGCCAACCATGTATGTATGTGTGCCCTATGCTGAGGCTGATGTAGTAATCATGATGCTTCTTCACCGCAGTTGGGCTAAATCAACTTACACTTAAACTAGGTCTTTTTAATGTGGATAAACTCATTCCACTTTATCTGCTTTGTTCTGCGTACTTGATAATGTTCTAATTTGCATACGTCCCTGATGCTAATTGCGGTATCCTTGGGTAACTTTATCACGTTGTATTCTTTAAATAATTTTCGGACTTTTTACTTATCGCGGATTCGCTTACAACCAATTTACTCCGTATGCTCGTTTAGCGAGTATTTATGTCGTCATATAGTTTTACTTTATCCGCTATCTTTTCTATGATGTCTGCATTTCGTATGATTGGCTGTTGTTTGACATCCCAGGTGTAGCTGCGCTTGTTCTGCATTTTGACAAGGTGCCTACCTGTCTATTACCCACTACCTCGTCCATACTGGCTCCAGGAGACAGTTGGTCGTTGCTGGAGAGGACGGGGTGCACGGTCCTTGTGGCTGTGTTAGGCTCAAATAGTGGTTCTATGCACTCAGTGTGGAGCGTACTACGGTCCAGCCACCGCCTTGTGTGCGCTTGATTCCCAAATACAGTGTGCTTGTGTTTGCCTGTGAAGGAGTGTGGGCCGGCTCCGTTGATGAAACATGGCTCCAATACACATGCCTGCGCCTACACAGGACCATGGATGGCTTGCGCTACACCACACACCGTTCCATCCACACACCCCATATCCAGTGTAAACGCGAAAGAATAAGACCGTGAGGCATGTGGATGGGAGCCACGTTTCATCAACGAAGGCGGCCCAAACTCCTTCACAGACAAACACAAGCACGCTGTATTTGGGCACCAAGCGCACATAAGGCGATGGTTGGACCGTAGTACCCTCCACACTGAACCACTATTCGAGCCTAGCACGACCACAGGGACCGTGCACCGCTTCCCCTCTTGGAGCAAGTACAGACGAGGTAGTGGGTAATACACAGGTAGGCACCTTATCCAAGTGTACCTGAAGTGCAGCCACACGTGGGATGTCAAACAGCAGCCAATCACTCGAAAAGATAAGATGAAATAAAACAAATCAAATAACGCATACAGATACGGCGGCATAACTCTTCATCAAATGGAAGTATAAAAAATTGATTAACAACAAATCCGCGATAACTTCAAGAGGTCAGAAAATATATTTTAAGGAAATACCGCAAGCGCGAAACTGTTATCGAAATTAACTATAATTGGTTTCAGCTACGTGTGCAAGTTCATAGACGATAGTACAGGTAGACATTAATATGAGAAAGAAAAGCGTTAGGACAAAACTACAAACCCACCACCTGAAATAAAGGGACTTAGCATGCAAGCACGCGGTTAGTAAATCGATTGCAGCGTACTTACAAACGCTGCGCCGGTTCTGCCTACGTTCTCTGCAGGACCCGTCTTCGTTTCGGTAGTGGTCCCGACTGGCCTCGCTCATCGCTCACTAGGCTTGCTTGTCTCAGGCACTCGCGACTGCATGTGCTACAGCACCATGTGCTCGATGTCGATGGAGTACAACCCATCGGTGCTTGCCGCTTCTTCTTTGCATTCATGGGAGCTTTCTCTTGCAACTCGGCAACTGCCTTCGTGATCAGATCTCTCCTTCACACCCATCAACCGCGTTCGATTTACATAATCTGCAATCAAGAATAGAACGTTAGAGGCTCACCTTGGTCATGTTCTCGTAACGAAGATTCGGGTTCCCCACATGCCGTTTCCCAACACAGCTGACCATATCATAGCTCTTTGGTATCCGCGTCGAGCCCATACGGCTCACATGACCGAGCCACCTCATGTATCCTTGCAAAAATGTGCAGTCCACTGCATACTTTCCACTTTGTCGCAACACTTCCGCGTCCGCAACTCTCTCGAACCAAACGATGCGCAGAATCCGTCGCAAACACTGTTAATTGAACCGCTCGAGATATCGCACATGCTGCCTGCATATCGTCCACCTTTCACTGCCGTAGAGATGAACGGACAGCACCATAGATTTGTACGCCATCAGCTTCGTGCCAACGGTAAGCTGATGGTTGTTCCCCACTCGGTACTATGGCTTCTTGAATGCCACCGCTGACTTCGACACGCGGATACGCAGCTCACTGTGTGGTTGCTGATCAGTTGACATCACACTCCCAATGTAGGGGAAGCGGGAGGTGGTTTTCAATACTTCAGCACTAATGCTGATTCGCGGCAATATTTAAGATTGCACCACCGGTGAAAGCTGAATGAGAAGACAGTTTTGCTTGTGTTGGTGGTGAGTGCGAATTTGGCTCAAATCTGTCGAAGCCAGAGCACTAGTCATGTGCTGCAATTCATCTGCACTGTGTGCAAACAACGCACAGTCGTCAGCAAACAGCAACATACGGATAGTTGTATCACAGACTAGGGTTCTCGCACCCAAACGACGGATGTTCAGCAACTCACCATCAATACGGTGCTCCACAAAAACACCATAAGCACAAACCGCCTCCAAATCACAAGCATCATGGTATGAAGATATATATTAAACAGGGCAGGAGCTAATGACTCAGACTTGTTTCACACCAGAGACAACTGCAAAATCATCCGAGATCTCACCACTCAGCTGCACCC